ATCCCTCGATCCCTCCTTGAAGGCACCTGGGAAACCTCCCAAACCCTCCAAGATTCTCCGGGGGAGCCGTGAAACTCTCCAGGTGACCCCCAGGGGGACCATCGGACCATCCGAAAACCACTCGTAAGAAAGTGCCTAAAAATCTCTGGGGGATACCTTCGGACCCTGGATGAATTTCAAGGTGGGATCTTGAAGCCCCCAAACCCTCCCAGGAACCACCACGGGGAACCTACGTGAATGTCGACTGGTCCCCCGCGCCAGCGCCCTGGGATTCGCCCGAATCCATCTTCATAACATTCCTCTTCCTCCTCCTCCTCCCCATCCCCCTCCTCCTCCTCCTCCTCCTCCTCCTCCTCCTCCTCCTCATACTCTTCCTCGTCCCCCTCCTCATTGTCCTTTCCCTCCTAGTCCTCCTTGTCCTCCTGTTATTCCTCCTCGTCCTCCTCCCCCACGTCCTCCCCCATCCTCCTCCTCCTCCCTCCCCGTCCCCTCCTCCTCCTCCTCCTCGTATTCCTCGTAAGGAAATCGGTAACCCCCAGAGGTTACCGACCCTGTCCTCGGCCATCGCTCGGCTTTTCTCGTATCTTTTCAGGGGCCTGCCTCCTCTCTCGGGGAGGAAAGGGGGGGGGGGAATCGGTAACCTCCGGAGGTTACCGACCTTGTCCTCGGCCTTCGCTCGGTTTTTCTCGTCTATTTTCAGGGGCCTGCCTCCTCTCTCGGGGAGGAAGGGGGGAGGGGGGGGAAATCGGTAACCTCCGGAGGTTACCGATCTTGTCCTCGGCCCTCCTTCGGTTTTTCTCGTATATTTTCAAAGGCCTGCCTCCTCTCTCGGCGAGGAAGGGGGGGTGGGGGGGGAAATCGGTAACCTCCGGAGGTTACCGATCTTGTCCTCGGCTCTCGCGTGGTTTTTCTTGTATATGTTCAAGGGCCTGCCTCCTCTCTCGGGGAGGAAGGGGGTGGGGGGGGAAATCGGTAACCTCCGGAGGTTACCGACCTTGTCCTCGGCCCTCCCCTCCCTTGGTTTTCTTGTCTGTTTCCAAGGGTCTGCCCGCTCCTCGGGGAGGGGGAGGTAAGGGCCCCATTCTCGGTGCGCATGTCCTCGGCCCGCGGCCCCTTCTGGTTGCGCGGGCATGTTTCTTGCGCTGGTGGTGTCTGTTGGGGGAGGAGAATCGGTAACCCCCGGAGGTTACCGACTCACACTCCGAGGGGGAATCGGTAACCTCCGGAGGTTACCGACTCACTCTCCGAGGGGGAATCGGTAACTTCCGGAGGTTACCGACCCAACCTCCGGAGGTCCAGAACGGGGCCGTTTTGGACCCGGCGGGGGTGCCAGAACGCGTCAAAGGAGGTAAGGGGGGTGGCGAGAGGGCCCGAGAGACGTTCAAGAGGGTGCCAAGATGGCCCAGGAGCGCTCCAAGAGAGCCCAAGACCGCACAAGAGCGTTGAAACATTGGTCCAACATGGCTTGAAGACAGCCCAAGAAGGCTTCAAGACGGCCAAGATGCCCTCAATTGCGCCCAACGCATGGCTTCATGGACATCGAGGACTTACTACCAATTGACGTGCGTATGAAACTCGATGATATTCAGCCAAACTTCCGTGAGTGGGTATCTTCGAAGAATGAGGTGGAGAGGAGTTCTATCAAGGAGAAGCACATGCAGGCATACATGAAGATGGCAACCTATTTGAAGAGGACGGTGGAGAACGGATCCTTCAAGGGCAATCGGGCCAAGTGTATTCGCCATGACAAGGTGTGTTCGGCATCTTGTTGGGAGGCCAGCTCTATGTTAACGGCTGCGCTGAAGATTGAGTCTGCCGGGTCAATTTGTGTGTTGCATGGAGCGACGCAGGTGAGCACACGGGGTATGCTCACCCATCGATGCGCACCATGTTGGTCTGGGCGGCGCTCGTGCTGAACACGCAGCCAGACGTGATCTCCCACGAGTGTGTCAGAGCATTCCCCATTTGGGTGCTAGAGTCTTTCTTTGGCCGCGACTACATCATGCACACGTTCGAGAACATGAGCCCTGTGACATGGGGCCTGCCGAGTACCCGGGAGAGGCGTTACACCTTCTTCTCCAGGAAGGCTTCCGTACGTTTCTTGGGATCTTCTCAGGAGTTCGAGGTGATGTTCGCGAAGGAGTGTGTGCTTCCAGGGTCTGTATATTTCAAGGACACCGACGAGAACGTCAGGAACGAGTTCCTGGAGCTTGGCATCAGGCGCAAGCTGAACCCGTCTTGCATGAGCGACAAGATGGACTGGAAGGAGCTCTACCCACCAGGGGCTGTCACGCGCCTCGAAGCTGCAGTGAAAACGAATAGGTGCGACCTCAACGCCAGCGAAGACATCGTCGTCGACGTGGACAGGATTTGCGTCTCGGGTCATCACTTCCCATCCTTGGTGACGCATGGCATTTGGTATTCTACGAAGCATCGCAGGCACATGACCCCCAGGGGGACCTTGTGTGTAGCGAGAATCCCTGCAGTGCCTGCCGCCATGGATGTCTTGGATCTCCCATGGAAGAAAGCCCTGGACGTACTATCGCCAACTGAGGTGAGGAGCCTTGGTGGCAATACCATGCACATGGTGTCCGCAACGCAGCTGCTGGCGTACGTGATCGCGAACGCGCTGAAGCTCGATCACGCGAACACGCCAGCCAACTTTGACGACTGCGTGCCCACCGATGTCGAGACCGTCATCGAGATCGAGGACGACAGCCAGGTCGCAGACATCGGAGTTGCGAGCATGGAATTCGAGGGCACGGGCAGCCGCGCCGACCACGACTCGACTGCGCCCTCCTCTTCGAAGAGGCGCAAGCCGGGCCGCCCGTCGTGACGATGTTCCTAGGAACGGGCTGTGCGACAATCGCTTTGTACACCAGCTTGCCCTCGTCAAAATCAGTGTAGTTTACGTCTCCGAGAAGGAGTCCGAGCGCAGTGGCGTTGGCATGACCAACGTCTCATGAGATGGTACCCTGCAGTTGCGGATGAGAGCACGGGGTTGGATGAAGGATGGAGGATGCACACGGCCTCAGGGGGAAGAGAGCGAGCCCCCTCCCCCATGTCGCAGATAGTTTGAAGGATTTGGTCTCACTTGGCGGGCCTTATAAGGCCGCACCTCCCCTGGGTTTCAAGATCCCCACTTCGGCCGATCTGTTGAAAGCGCTGTAAGACCGTTCGGCCATGCTCACACGTGCAACTGGCAACGTTGTGTCCTACGCATCTTGAGAAATAAATGCAGACTGGCATATGCACACTCAAAGCCATATTGCAATATATAGGTCAGCCATAACATGCAAGACAACAATACATAGGAAAGGACCTGGGACGGAAACGTGTTCTGGAACATCGCGACGGCCAAGAGAGGCCTCACATTTTGACAAATCCTAGATTCTAGAGCTGTTGACTCGACTACTTGGACCGTTGAGGCAACAATACGGGGGGGCAGAAAGTTAGTTGCACAATCGTTGTTGCGCCATTGGCTTACTGGTTCACAGACTGGTTCTCATGTTATCCTTCCCCTCCTTCTCCTCCTTCCTCTTCTCGTCCTCCTCTTTCCCCTGCCCCTCCTCCCCTCTTCCGCCTCCTCCTCCTCCTCTTCCTCCCCCTCCTCCTCCTCCTCCCTCTCTCCGTCCTCATCCAACCCCCGACGCAAAAGATGTGTTTGCGGTGCCGTGTCTTGATGTTGTGATGAGACGCTGCCGTGTTACGGCTACGCGTCGTGCTTTTGGTGCGATGTCATGCCGTGCGAATTCAACAGGCATCGTTCTTCCCTCTGAGCAGAAATCGTTGAACCAGCTCTTGCGTTGTGCGCGTGTGATCTCAAGTAGATTTGTTTGAGATTAAGCAGGCCCGCATCACTTGATATTGCAATCCTTTGGTCGGGGGGGCCATGGCGCCCAAGCCCAAGGGCAAGCCTCGGAAGTCAGCAGTTGCGAAGAGGCAGCCGGATCGGCAGCAGTCGCAGCAGTCGCTCCTGTTTCAGCACCTTGAGCGGAAAGGCAGGGGCAAGGCGGCCAGGCGGACAGAGCCGCCAGAGCCGACCAGGTCTGACGCTGAGGAGAATGCCGCGGCTGAGGAGCAGGCCAGGGCTGCGGAGCTTGCCGCGGCAGAGTAGGCGGCGGGCGCGGATGAGGGGCAGGCCGCGACTGAGGGGTCGGCCGAGGATCAGAGGGTCGCCGAGGCAGGGCTGGTGGGTGAAGTCGCCGCAGCCGCCCTCGCCAATGCTTCCGCCCCTACGTCGAGGTTGGAGTCGCAGCAGCCGCAGCCAGCTGCGTTGCCAGTGTCGCCAGCGTCAGCTGGTGTTGCCTCCGAGTCCGACGCCGAGGCCGAGGCGGTGACGGTGACCGAGGCGGCCGAGGTGTCTGCTGCGGCCGGCGCGGCGGCCGCCGCCGCGGACGGCGAGGGCCGCGGGACTGCCGATGTTGAGCAACTCGACAAGGTGGCCGAATGGCGAATGCGTTCTCAGGAGCTCCTCAGCCCCCCAAAGACAAATCTTACCCTTGTGTCCGAGATATGAAACAGTTCAGAAGGATGTGACACTTCAAGTGCCACATCCTTGCCAGAGCTGCTAGTGCAATAACCAAACAAGTGTCACACTTGTTTGGTTATTGCACTAGCAGCTCTGGCAAGCCAGGTGCCGCGTGCCGGGGGCGAGCTACCGCTGGATGATGCGCGCCACCAGCAGGGGGATCCGAGGTCCATATAAAACTTCTCCGATGGTCCAGTTCGTATTTGTGTTTGTGAAAGACGCCGTTCGTGCAAGGTTGTGTCCGTGAGTTTTTCCTATATGATGTCCAGGGATTGCAACGCATGAAACGTGTGATGTTGAGGGGTTCGGGGCGTTGTTCCGCTTGTATAATGCGGGCGTTGCGGGCCTCGGATCGGCCCCGAATCACCAAGCAAGGGGGTGTGGAGATAGGTTGAGACAGATATCAGTAGGAGTCTTGATTTACCTCTTCTCCCCCCGCTTCTTTTCCAATCCCTTTGTGAGTCGCGAGGACATTCCGACTCCGACCGGCGAGGACTCGCCGCCGCTAGAGGAGCCTCGAGAGCCACAGCCACAAGAGGAGGCTCTGGAGGCGGCAGTGGCGGCGGCAGTGGCGGCAGCGCTAGAGGAGGCGGCAGAGGGTGAGCAGAAGCCGGGGGAGGCAGCAGAGGCTGAGATGGAGGCGGACGACCAGGATGGCGCCGACGCTGCGGCTGCAGCATCGGCTGAGTCAGTCAAGAAGGAGGCTCTTGGAGCAATGGGCGCATTGTTAGAGGACTTGGACCTCGATGATGTCGCAGTCGGCGCTGGAGGCTTCAATGATGGTAACGGTGTCAGTGCCAGCCCCGCCGCGATTGGACGCGCTGGCACTGAAGGCAAGGCGGATCCCTCGGCGTCGCCACCTCCGCCGCCAGCGCCGCACGAGGAACCTCGCAGAGATGATAAGGTGGCGAAGCGCAAGGGGAATCGCAGGCCTTGCCCAGTGTGCAATGAGGTATACGACAAGATGCCAGCAAACTCGCCGTACTGTCATGGCCACAAGGAGATAGTGGAATTCGCATGGCAGCAAGCATGCAACCAATCTTCAGAAGAAGAGCGCACAAAGGCTAATAATTATTTCATACACTGCCGGGACAAGGGCCCCGTCAAGTTCACGCAGCTGATCCTTGATGTTGAGAAGCAAGCTGGGGAGAGGCGTGGGCGAGGCATCAAGCGTAAGTGGTTGGATTGGTCCCAGTGCGCTGAGACGACGGCCGTGAAGAAAGAGGTAGAGGACAACAGCAAGCTGAAGTGGTACGACTACGTCGACTGGACTTACTACCACACGGTCAAGCGGATGAAGCCCAGATGTGCGTCTGACCAAGAATGGCAAGAAGCAGTTGAAACAACTAGGGGGACAGAGTGGCAGAGGGGCACTGGCGAGGCCGTTGAGATTCTGGTGAAGAAGGGCGATTACGTTTCCTACAAGCAGGCTTTGTCTCACACCCAACAGTGGGCGACAGGGGACAAGCAGAAGAAGAATCCAACGGAGGCCGACTACAAGAAAACCATGGAGAAGATCAAGACGGGCCACGTCTCCTTCACTGACTCGGTCTTCAAGGGGTTATCGGGCAGTACCGCTTCGGCAAGCAGTGCGCCTCACGGTGATCATCGCGTCGGAGGTGGCGGATTCGTTGAACTTGGCCCTGACGACGGGGAACCTTCAAAAAAAAGGAAGTCGAAACATGAGCCAGTGCCGCTGGCAGCTGAACCTGAACCGTCAGGAGGGAAGAAGAAGGGTGTGATCCTGGGATCGCAGCAGTTGAAGGCACAGGGTTCGCTGAAGAATTCTCTCGACGCCGAACTGGCTCACTGGAACGGCAGCGGTGCGAACCCCGCCGTTCCCAATCTGGTTGAAGAGGGGATCAAGGAATCCAAGGATAAGATCGCTGACACGACAGTTCACGGAGAAGTATGCGAGGGCCACTTGTTCAGTCGGACAGTCCGCCTCGACACGTTGAAGGCCATCCATGATTCCCACCTGCCGGAGAAGATCAGCACATTCACTAACAGACACAAGGCGCAGCTCCCCGTCCGTGTGAATAAGTTGGAAGGTGTGGCATCAATCAAAGAGAAGATAGCAGGCATCATGGAAACTGAGGCCAAGGAAGAGTTGAAGGCTGCAGAGTCGGGAATCCAGCAACTGATCAACTACATCTCGCAGGTCCGCTCGGCCGTGAGTGTTGGCATCAAAGACCTTGGCACAGCTGTGACTCAGTACCGCAAGCGGATTGACGGAGAACGCAAAAGTGCAGAGGAGAAGAAACAGAGGGTGGCGAGGGAAGAAGGCTGCAAAGGAGGCAGCGAAACGACCGGCACCAGCGCTCGACAGGACGCCCAAGGCATCTTCGACATCAGCTGGGAACCAGTCGCTCAGAAGGTTGTGAAGTTCAGCGACATGACAGACTTCGCGGCCACAGCGGAATTCGAGAATCTCCAAGACCCATACATCATCACCAACGCTGACAAGATCAAAGCGTTTGTCGACCAGGCTGGAAACATCAAGGCTGGGATGGCATCGTTCACTGCAACCTTCGCGGACTCAGCGCAGGCAACGATTACTGGCCGGGCGTCCTGCCCATTGAATGCTTCATCTGGGACGGTGTCCAGCTTGAAGTCGATGATGCGACAGTGCGCCCCGCGTGCGCCAGAGACCCTGGTGGTCGAGGACAAGATGCCGCCTTTGGGCATGAGCTTCAGCGGAGCGCTGGGCAATCATGGGAGCGCCTACTTCGAGCTCCTTGGACTTGGTTCGATTCGTTACGGCATCAGCGGCACCAGGGACCTTGTGATTTTCAAGTACGACTCGTTGGCCCATGCCTTTCAAGATGAGGGTCCATTCAACGTGTTGAAGCAGCTTTGCCAGGTTCTCTGACTAGTCAAACTTGCTTCGCGATTCCCATTCCACGTATAACCAACACAACCTAACAACTTTTAATGGGGGGTAGCTTGAGATACAGGGTCAGAGGATGGAAGAATGAGGTGGAGGATGTTGTCAAGGTAAAATGAGGCAACGCAAAGGCCCTTAGAGGCCCAGCTACAAACGTGTTCCCGTCCTCTGCATCGTCATTCGTTGTGTTGCATTGCGTTGCTTGAGCTTAGGTTAGCTTCGGGACCCTCGTAGGTGACAGCTGAGAAAGCGCCGCCCATAATGCAGATGGGTACATTCGTGCAAGCCCCTCCTGGTTCTTTGTTGGTGGTGCCACCTGCGTGTATCATCCTGGAGCAAGGCTTCAAGAAGCAACAGACAATCGGACTGCGTGTGAGTTTCATGGATGTCACCAAGAAGAACGAGTACAGTGGTTTCATCAATTGCATTGCGCAGTACGATGATAAGTTCTCCCAGCTTCCAGCGATGCACAAGGTAGTGCAAGCCTTCGTGGGGCTCGCGAACCTCCCGAAGCAGAGCGGTCCTGCGGGAAGCCGCGATGGCACGATGGCCGCACCTGTGCAGTCAGATGATCAGAGGTGAATTCTCGTGATGCGTGGCCGTGGGTTTCTGCGCTCGTGCGAGTGCGCAGTTTACCAAGATATGTGATCGGGCCGCCTGCCCGCCTGCCGAGTCACAAAAATGAGATCGTGCGACGTGCGATCCCAGAGTCTCTAAGATTCTTGACAGACCCCAGGATCAAGGAATGAGGCTTGTGGTGGTTTTGGAATTGAAAGCTCGCCACGCCTTCTTTCTTCCTCCTCCTCCTCCTCCTCCTCACTCCGCCGCCTCCTCCTCCTCCTCCTCCTCCGCTTCCTCCTCCTCCTCCTCCTGCCCCCCCCCCCCTCGTCCCCTCCCCCCGCCGCCGAGAAATCTACGAGCCTAGATTGGCTCACGTTTTCTGTCTTCGTTATGTCCTCACCCGGGCTCTTTCTGGCGTTGTGTTTTTCGCGAAGGAGGAATCGATCAACTATGAATTATTCACTGCGTGGAGCTCCCCATATGTGCATCTACTCGCATGGACCTGTCCGCCGTGAATGTCTAGGCGCAAGAGCTTTCGAATACTAACGGGCTTCAGTTGTGACGGTCTGGACATCAATCTAACTGCGAATGAATTGGAGTGTGAATGAGCCTCAGTAGTACGAGCGCGTCTCTGTGCATGAGCCTGGGGCCTCCTGGGGCCTCCTGAAACCTACTGGGGCTTCCTGGGGTCTCCAGGAGCCTCTTGGGACCTCCTGGGACCTCCTAGGAAGGTTTCGTGCCCCAGGGGAGGCGCAATCTATAGCAACAGACGTACATAAAACATTGCGGATTAGAGCCACAGGAGAAGGGCAATCTATAGGAACACGCGTAAAACACCAAGGACTCGTGCCCCAGGAGAGGCCCAATACATAGGAACATGAGTAAAACATTTAGGATTGTGTACACAGGAGAAGGACCATCTATAGAAACATACGTAGAACATCAAAGAATCGTGCTCCAGGTGAGGCCCAATCGATAGGAGCATACGTAAAACACATGGGATTGGAGCCACTCCTGTTGCCTTCTGAGGCCTCCTGCTCCTGGGGCCTCTCGGGGCCTCCTGTTGCCTTCCGAGGCCTCCTGGCGCTTCCTGTTGTCTCCTGGGGTCTCCTGTGGTTTCCTGAAGCCTTCTGGAGCTTCCTGGGGCCTCCTGGAGCCTCTTGGGACATCCTGTGGCCTCTTGAGTCTTTCTGTGGCCTCCTGATGCCTCCTGGGACCTCATGTGGTCTCCTGGAGCCTCCTGGAGCCTGTTGGAGCCTCCTGTGGCATCCTGAGAAGAATCTGCGCCCACGAGCCTGGCCACCAAAACTAGCAAACCGATCGAGACATCCTCAAAATCTGGCCCACCTGGGGGGTGAAAATGAGCGCCTCGCTCGAGACATCCTCCAAATCTGCTCCGAAAGCGAAGGATGTTGGGCACAGAAACAGGCAAACCGCCTGAGACATCCCCACAAAATGGCCGCGAACGAGCCCGTGCAACCACCCCTGGCGGCTCCCCTTAGGGGTGCTGAAATGAGCGCCTCGCTCGAGACATCCTCCAAATCTGCTCCGAAAGCGAAGGATGTTGGGCACAGAAACAGGCAAACCGCCTGAGACATCCCCACAAAATGGCCGCGAACGAGCCCGTGCAACCACCCCTGGCGGCTCCCCTTAGGGGTGCTGAAATGAGCGCCTCGCTCGAGACATCCTCCAAATCTGCTCCGAAAGCGAAGGATGTTGGGCACAGAAACAGGCAAACCGCCTGAGACATCCCCACAAAATGGCCGCGAACGAGCCCGTGCAACCACCCCTGGCGGCTCCCCTTAGGGGTGCTGAAATGAGCGCCTCGCTCGAGACATCCTCCAAATCTGCTCCGAAAGCGAAGGATGTTGGGCACAGAAACAGGCAAACCGCCTGAGACATCCCCACAAAATGGCCGCGAACGAGCCCGTGCAACCACCCCTGGCGGCTCCCCTTAGGGGTGCTGAAATGAGCGCCTCGCTCGAGACATCCTCCAAATCTGCTCCGAAAGCGAAGGATGTTGGGCACAGAAACAGGCAAACCGCCTGAGACATCCCCACAAAATGGCCGCGAACGAGCCCGTGCAACCACCCCTGGCGGCTCCCCTTAGGGGTGCTGAGTATGAGTAAGTCTGTGTATGAGTAAGTCTGTGTATGTGTACGTCTGGGTATGACTAATACTGTGTATGAGTAAGTCTGTGTATGAGTAAGTCTGTATATGAGTATGTCTGAGTGTGAGTAAGTCTGAGTATGAGTAGGTCTGAGTATGTGTAAGTCTGAGTATGAGTAAGTCTGTGTATGAGCAAGTCTGAGTATGTCCGACAAGAGGGGAGGAGAAAAGAGGAGGAGGAAGGAGGAGGAGGAGGAGTAGGAGGCGTCCAAGTAATAACAAGAACCCCATCTTAGGATATGGGGAAAAACTTGATCCAGGGAAGGGCGTCAACACCGTCGAGTCGTCTTGTCGTCTTCGTCGCCGTCGCCGCCGCCGCCTTTCCCTCGGTGGCCGCCAGAGTCGCCTTTCCAACTTCCAACGACAGCCGCCTTTCAACGGCAGCCGCCGTTCCGACGGCAGCCGCCTTTCCAACGGAAGCATTCCCAGCCACATACATATAATGGCTGTTCGCCTTGGCCGCCAGCGTTTCGGGGTAATCGGCTACGCGGCTGGTGTAAGCAATGCAGTACAAGCTATGTGCGGCTAGCTGTGTGGTGTAAGCCATGTATGCTGTCTTGCCTGTCGGGGCTTCGCGTCTACGTGGTGTAAGCCATGTGATGTAAACGAAACAGAGACAACATGGAACATTTCAACCAATATGAACTTATCCAGGCGCGCAACGCGTGTAGAAACATCCGGAGGCCTTCAGAGGCTTTCGCGCTGCGCTCAGATGCACGCGCGTTCTGCTCTTCCTCTAAACTACAGTGGCAGGCTTCCAAGGGAAACTACCTATCCGGCGCCCCAGCAAGCATGAACACTTCCATTGCGGGGGGGCGACCGGGCGGGCCCGGGGCCCATCCACTTCGGACCACGACCCGCAAATCATTCCCGTGCCTACCGCGCTTCTTCGCCCGGGGCCCTCTCCCCCGACCCCCGCGGCCCGCCCCCCTGGCGCCATGGGCAGCGACCTGCCGCAGCGCGTCGAGGCTTTCTATTGCAGTGCGCTCGCCCGCGCCGCCCTCGGCCAGCAGCCCCGCCACTCCCGCGTCCTCCTGGAGCTGGCCCACCCAGACGCGGCCTGGGTCCTCGCCCTCCTCCTCCCTGCGCTCGCGGGGGCCCTGGCCCCGCCACCGCGCGCCCGCCACATCCGCAGGCTCCCGCCACCCTGCAGGCCGCTCGACGGGCAAGACGACCACGTCGTCGCCCGGGACCACGTTCGCCAGGTTACCGCCGGGAACCACGTAACCGGCGGTAAACCGTCAACCAGGTTACCGCCGGGCACCTCGTAGAGATCTTTTCTTGCACAGCGCTCCTCGGGACACATGAAGGAAGCTTCTGAAGCGAGAGCCAGAAAATTTGAAAAATCACGATTTTTCGGTTTTCATCAAATCAGTTCCTCCAAGTGTGATAGTAACACTGCACCTACGGATCTGAGAATTCGACTGACAGACGCGGCATAACCCACTCTCCTCCCTCTCTCGCTGCCTGCTCACCGAAAAAGCTTATCAGATTACGCCGGCAAACGCATTTTGTTATGTTGATACAAAGTCGGTTCCTCCAAGTGTTTTGATAGTAATACTGCACCTAGAGCCATACAAATTTAACCAGCAAGTGCGCCATAGCAAACTACAGGGAATGAAATCTCATTTCTGAAAACGAACTTCAAAATTTTGCACACAGTGAAAAAACCGACCACAGGTTACCACATTGTCTCTTTTAGTCGGGCTGGCCAACTAGCTCCACCCTGCGCCCGAATTCCTCTTAGCTCTTAGTTCCGGTGTGTGTTCTCTTTGCTCTCCGGGTTTTGGACGCTACCAAGTTTCCGCACCTGTAGTGGATTGTGCCGCGTCTGCCAGTAAAATAACTCGTAGAGCTTCCCCTAGCAAGTTGTTGCTGGAAGCATAAGAGTAATTCCGGGGCGCTGGACAGCTAGTTGGCAAGAAAAATCTCGACGGACTTTTTGGTGACTTTTGGTCGATTGAAAATTTTGTTCTCGAAATTCCACAATTCGTTTGAGCTCTAGTATTTTTTCCCGTGATATTCGATCTTATTCCCGCTCGCCATCTTGATCTCAGCTCGATCGGGTACCTTGTACTGTCAAAAAGCACCCCGGCGGGATCGGCCGTTTTGAGTCATCTTGATACGCGCTGTCGGTATATTGGAGTTAATTCGAGATAGAGGACAGCTACAGAGCTGGTAAGCACACCTTGTCGATTCAGAATGATCAGGCGCGTTTGTCTGTTCCATGCAGAGGTCTGAACTCG